AAAAGCCATGGCCATTTCAGAGTGAGGCATTAAAATAACTCATGGTGGAGATAAGTCGGTTTAGAAGTCTTCCACGTGTTATCTCGATACCAAAAAAACCACTCCTCTGTTGGAAAATTTACTGCAGGCAGATTAACAAATGTACCCACCTAAAGGTTAGTCCCACAGTGGCCTTTTATGAGCAGGAAAGAGCTCTTTACAACTCAGCTCCTGCTTTGTATAAATTATTAGGGTGAAGAGACATGGGAAAAAGTCAGTTAGCATGAGTGCTTTTAGTAAACTGCTAACATACTTGTAAATTCTACTCTTAAAGCTTTCCTTGGTATTCTTAACTATTTTATATGTCTCTTTCTGCCAGCATGGCCTCATCACTAAGTGACCCACAGTGAAGTCCACCTCTGTCACTGTCTGTTAAGTCCGTGTTTGCTAAGCTGGCCTTGCCAAACGTTAGAGAACACACTCAAAGCAAAATAAGGAACAGTGAAAAGCAAAGATGGTTTTCACTTACTTTCCACTCCTCTCAACTCCTCTTTCTTAGAACCTTGGCTTGAGGGTGCCGCCTGATGATCAATTGCATGTTGCCTATGTGTTGAGTGTTCCAGGCGGAGGAGAGTTATCACCTACAAGGACCTGTTGTTCAGATCCCAGTACCTTGCTCTCAGAGCCTCGAGGTGAAATACAGACACATCAACAGTGAGAAATAAATGGAAGTTGTCACCAGTGTGAGTGGCAAACACTGGGGTCCATCCCTCACAAATTATGGACATCTGTATCCCTAATTGGCATTCTTTTGGGCTGTGCCAGCAGAATAGCTGTGCCAGGAAGAGAGATAGCCTCAAAAAAGAATGAAGTATTACTTTTAGGTGTCAGGAGACATTGCTGAGGTGAAGAAGTTCTTTTGTATGGAATCTTGTCCATATGGTTGCCATAATACTGGCGACTTTTAGTTTCAGGTACCTCCAAATGGCATGTTTTATCCAAACTAAATGTGCTACTTTTAGTAGAGATCAGTTTATGATCTTAGAAGAACAAGTGGTTTTGATGGTTACATGACCAGAAAAGCACTGGTAAAGACGTACAGAAATAGTTAACAAGGTAATGGTAAGAAATGTTGACCTTGATTTGTTTAGCTAAGATGTAAAGATTTTTGAAGGTCAAAGGTGTCCTCGTGTAGTGTTTTGGAGTCTAACTGTGCCTGACCCTCTAACATTAAGCTGCTGTGGCCTGCAGTTTTGAAGAGTGAAGCAAACCAGGGGGAAGCAAAGAGGGGGAGAGAACAGGAAATGGAGTGAGGTGTTTCAGGAAGTTGTCAGGGGTTGACTGATTGATTCCAGATGGAAAGGGTCAGCCTTCATGACCCAGGAAATACTCACTAGGGGAAAGAAGTTGGCTTGTGGAAGGGGAAGGCCTGGGAGTAAGATGATGTTGGAATGCACATTCCACTTCCTTTAGTCCTAAAACATTCAGAAATCTGTACTTCTCTGAATAGAAAAATATCAGCATTGTCATCATTCATCAGAAAACAGAGAGGGAGTTAATCCGAAGCTTTGACTGAACCAAATGGGTCTTCAAGTCCATGGTGTGGCTCACTCTTTAGAACAGGGAAGAATGCATGTAAAAGGCACTATTTACACACATTTCCAAAGATGAGAAGAATGGCCCATGTCTGATTTTATGTGGTGGGATTTGTGAATCAAATCCATTACATTTTGCCAGTTAAGTTTCATTGGCAAAGCACCTCACAGCCCAAGATATTTGGAATATGAAAACCTGAAACTCGCCTCATATCTATATATACATACATTTGCAGGCACATGCATTTGGACATAATTTAAACTCTTGTAATAAATTTTGCAGACACTGAAATAATTCAGGTTAATTCCCTTGCTGTCATGAGAGGCCAGAGCTAGCCAGCAAAAGATTAAAATTTATTTCCATTGTTAATAGAAAATAATGAACTGTATCGGAACCACCAGGGTATGTATGTCATCGGGAAATGTTCACTTTGGAACCAAGTCTCGCTCCACCCTAACGGACGATGATGAAATCCTTTGGCTCGAGAAAGCTCTGCATTTTGTGGCAAAGATGCATGAGGCTCGCTAATAGCCAGTGTGACAAGAAGCTTGTGGAATGAATTAAAACAGTTCCTGAGTGACTGCTCCTCACAGCAGCGGCATCCTGGGACAAGCTGGGCTTCCCCTCAGCGTGCCTAGCACAGCTCCTTAAGGGTTAAAGCCTGAAGTTCCTCTCATTCTTGCTGTTTGGGGTTTCTGTTTTGTTTCTCAGAGACAAGAGCCGTGTCTTTGAAGATCCATTTTCCACACACATATCTAAGAGTGGCCCAATTCCTCTTTTTTCTCTGTCCTATTATTTCAGAGGTGGCATGTGTACAAGGTGATATTTTTTAACTAACCCTGTGACTATGGAGTGCAATGTCTCCCTTTGACTGGGACATGATCTAGTACTTACCAAAGTTACTCTGATAAGAAACCTTGCCTGCTACACTTGCCAAGAGCGATGGCTGTCTGTGTTATATGGTTACCACCATACAAGAAGAAGTATCTAGAAAGACTTTTCTCAGACATTCACTTGTTAACACAGACACAATTGAAAACAGACCCAAGTCTAGACAGGTTGCATCCCTGAATTGTAAGCAATTATATGGGCGATAATTTTCTGAATGACAACTGAGTTTCCTTTAAGTTTGTTCTTTGAGTCCCCAGGGCCTGTTGTGATAGCTGACATGTAGTCAGAGCTCAGTGAATATCTGTTGCATTGAGTGATTGAAACCCATGTACATCCATGTAAAATTTCACATATGCTACACCATGTCAAGGGAGTGAGGCTATATGAAGTGATTTGTAGACTCGAGGGTTTCAGGAATTCTCTCAAACCTATTACAGTACAAATAATAAAATGTTAAAAGATACCATTGGCCCGAGGAGATGGCTCAGTCAGGAAAATGCTTACTGTACACACATGAGGACCTTAGTTCAGATCCCTACTAATAAAGCTAGGCTCTATGGCATATGCTTGCAAATTCAGTGCTGGGGAGATAGAGAGAACGCATGCCCCTGGAGGGCCAGCCTAGCCTAACTGGCAAGCTCCAGGCTGTGAGAGACCAGATAATAATATAAGGTAGACATCACTTGAGGAATGATACCCAAGGTATCCATGTACACACACACACACACACACACACACAGAGGATATTGGCTAAAACTCTCTTTTGGGCAAAAGAAAACAAAGGAAGGGAAGAGTGTTGCTTGGGTGGTTATGACTGACTGGGAAAGGATACAAAATAATTTTCTGGAGGGATACAGTATTCTGTCTCACAAGAGGGGCATGGATTATGCAGTGAAGTTTGCTTCATTTCATGAAAAATTGACCTGAACATCCGAAACTCGTGGTTACCACGTCTTCATGCAATGGGGGTGGAGAAAGCACCATGGAATAATGGAAGCAACAATGTTTTAAAATTCTCAAAGTTGAATGATAGATTCTCAAAACTTGTTATACCATGCTATTATTTATTTTCCTGAAATTATTCATAATAAAACGTTTACGTGTCATTGAATCCTGTCATGTTAAGATATATGCAAGATCCAGTTCCTCCACCCCCTCCTCATTTAATAAGTTAGGAAGGAGTGGCAGAACCATTACAGGTAGGATACCAAGAAATTGCATTTGGGACATAGGCAGGAAGACTCGTTTTAAATTACAACTCATTATGTGCCTATTAATGCCCTTCCTAGGCAAAAGGTCTATACATATTCATGATCATGTGCATATAAGTTCCTTTCTTTAAAAAGAAATGCTGTGCAAAGATGCATAGTTGAGAAGCAGCCTTCTGTCTGGGCCGCTCTTCCTCCTGGGTCAAGTAAGTTGGTAGGTGTGGCCACCCGAGTCCCTTCTGTTTCCCTCAGTTCTGCTCTGCCTTTGAGCTCCTCCCACACCCTGACCTGGAGCACAGAAAATAGAACCTAACTTCACGCCACCAGTGTCTGGCTTGTTATATGTGTTAGCTTCTGTTTTGATGCCTGGGTGTAAGACCTCGGAGAGTAGTGGTCTGGCCATGCCTTTTAGCTGAGGTTAACTAGTGCCAATGTCTCTCTTTCTAGAACCTTCTCCAGAGTTTAGAGGATGGGAGAATCTTTGCTGGATAACATCATCTGACTTACTGACTAGTCAAAGGAGGCAGGGGCAAGGCAAACAGGACACGAGTCAATGTAATTTGGCCTATGCTGAGCATCGTGCTGAATATTTAACATGCATCATCTTATTTTATCTTTCAGGCTTGCAAGATGAGCAGCATTATTTATGTTTCATAGATAAGAAAAACTGAGACTTTAAAATGTTCACTCTGTTGTCCTCAATTTCACATTAGGAAGCAGCAGCCTGGGATTTGGATCCTGTTCTGACTCTAAAACTTGCTCTCCACCACTCCACACCCGCCCCTGACCTTTCCTCCAGTTAGACTATCAGTGTCCTAAGGCTCCCACACTGAGTTCTGGGAACCTTATCTTCTCATACTGTTGTTACTGTTCCTTAGAGTGCTGGGACACGAGGAATAACTGATCAATCAGTGCCGCGATGTCCTATATGGTCTCAGACTGCCTCTGAGGTACAAGGTCTCTGTCCTTGAGCTTGGAGAAGTGGACTTCCAGCTGGAGCCTCTACCTTAGCTCCTCCTTCACACTGTCAGCCCCTTGTAGCTGGAGGTCAGTCCTGTTGATGATGACATCATCATCAACAGGCTTTTGATAGAGAACGAGTTTTCTAGAACCAGTAGGCAGAATGCCAATTTCCCATGTCCTGACATGGACAGAATTTGAACTCAAACCCATGGGCCACAGGCTGCCTCTTTTGCTCCACTCTGAAATTCTGTCCTGTCTCCCGCTTGCCATACCAAAGTGTATTACCAAAGGGTAATTCTGGCACATTTGCTACTTAGTCTGAAACTAATTGAGTGCTTTCTCCCCCTTCTGCTTTAAATGCAGGTTGTGTTATCAACAACAGTGAATGTGGATGGACACGTGCTGGCTGTTTCCGACAACATGTTTGTTCATAACAACTCCAAGCACGGACGCAGAGCAAGAAGACTTGACCCATCAGAAGGTAGGGCTGGGAGTCAAGCAGAGATGATACCGAACACTGGACTGGTTTTATTTATTTATTTATAGACAGATTCTCCAGCCTAGGCTGGCCTCAAACTTACTACATAGCTGAAAATGGCCTTGAATTTCTGATCTTTCTGCCTCTCAAGAACTGGGATCACGGGTAGGCACTATCACACACAGTTTATGCAGTGTTGGGGATCAAACTCAGGGCCTCATGCACTCGAGGCAAGTACTGTATCAGTGGAGCCACATTCCACCCCATGTGGGTTTCTAAGTGCAGCTGTAAACGCTGACTGCAGTCTGTCCCGTCAGCTCCACTCAGCTCCTAACCAATGCTCCAGTTCCTGGGCCTTTCACCCTTCCATTCAGATCTGTGTTTTTCTTTTAGCTCAACTGGTATTTCAAGCAAGTGCAGGCCTATGACATCTTAGTTAAACAGGAACAGTACAGTGCCAGACATGTATGAATAAGTGTCAGATGTACCCTTAAACAGATTGTAGGCAAAACAAAACAATGTGCAGAGTGAAACTGACACTAATTGATTTTTGTTTGCTTGGACAAGAAGAAATCATGAGCTGCTCTGGGTAGCTTACCAAGTGCATTAAAGTAATTAGAAATACCAGTAACTGGTAAATTTCAACTTGTCCAAAAAATTAAAGTATATCGATGAACAAAACTGACAAACCTGAGTGAATTCCACCTCATTTGCTCTGCTTTCCCCTCACCGCTCATTTACCAGCACAGGAAGACCTTAAAATACAGAACTACGGTCAAATTCAGCTACTATTTTAATGTGATGTTTTCTATATATTACCCACCAGACCTTTTCCCAACTCGGCCCTTAAAATGTATCTTATATCATTCTAAATAGGAATTAATGAACTGAAAGAAAATGATTGAATCAGTAAAGAATTTGGAGCGGTGTTAATTCTCCCACAGTGGGCACATGGGAAGAAGAAAATCCCAGGGTTCAGAGCTTGGAGCCCCCTCGAGTTTCTTTTGACTGATTGAATGTGATTGACTGGCTGTTCAAAGGGGGCTCATGTTTTTGGAGTCCTGCCAATGTTCTCCTCCACCTTTGACCCTGTCAACTTTGGAAATGGAGTGATGGATTGACTTTAGCTATGGCCTGAACACCATATTGGGTTCCTGTTGGGATGCAAAGTCCAGAGACCTCGGACATATGGAAGGAAGGAGGAAAGCCCTTTCCACAAAGTTAGGAGAGTGACTGGAGAGTGTCTTTTGATGGGGCTGAACAAACTCTTCAACTACTATAGATCTTGTTTCCTCCTATTCTCCCCAGCACATTAGTGAGCCTTGTAAATCTTAACATCATGGGGCAGAGGAGGTGGGGAGAGAAAAGGGATTTACACTTTTCTAGTGTGATCCACTTATAAAAATATGGGTAAAAACACCAGAGTTTAAAAAACACCCCTTGCACAATTAGCTAAGTGTTTCACTTTTTCATACATTATGGCCAACTCATTAGGCTTTAATGACCTGGTAAAAATCAACAACCAATTAGGGAAGGATGGTAAGTCAACAGAGCTCAACTTGAACTTCTTGGAATGACCAACGGCTTTCTAGGACAGCATGTTTCCCAATCCCCAAATGTCACCCACTGAAGGACACAGCTGACTTGTTCTTTTTCATCTTCTTAGCTACACCCTGCATCAAAGCCATCAGCCCAAGTGAAGGTTGGACCACGGGAGGAGCTATGGTCATCATCATTGGTGACAACTTTTTTGATGGTCTTCAAGTGGTGTTTGGTACCATGCTTGTATGGAGTGAGGTAGGCCAAAGCCATTTGTTTCTTTGGTTTCCTTTGGCTCCATGGTTGTTTTGGCCTTGGGAAACTACTAATTCCTAGATATTAGCAACATGAACACACAGTCCTATGTACCTACTATGAGCAAGGCACACAGGATAGCAAGACATGAATGTCACAACATTTCAGAGACAGATTCCTTAAGGTAATAAGTATTCATTACAGTTGTAAGATGGTGAAAAATTAGCGTCTAAATATTGGATTATAGGAGAATGATGGGAAAAAGTTAGAATATCATTTCACCATTGAAAATTATGTTTTGGAAAAATTCTAATGATACCAGAGAGTAATATGCTTACACTGTGATGCTGAATGGAAAGAAAACCCAGAGCAATAGTGGCAGATATGGATAATCTAATCCTGTGACACACAACCATCAAAATGTCTGGGAAGCACACCAGATCTTAATGTGGATTGTCCCTGGGTTATGCCGTACTGTATTTCTTTACATATTTCTGTAATTTCCCAACTTTCTAAATTGGATATGTTCAACTTATAATTTATAATCAGAAAAAAACAACCAAACCCATTACCAAAAGATAAGGAAGCATGCCGAGCTGGAAATTGCCAAAGTAATCCATGAGGCTGCAGTCGGTGGCCTCTGTGGTGGCTTGTCTAGTGACTATCTCTTTTTGCCTTCTCCTCAGCTCATAACCCCTCATGCCATCAGAGTGCAGACCCCTCCCCGGCACATCCCTGGAGTTGTGGAAGTGACACTGTCTTATAAATCCAAACAGTTTTGCAAAGGAGCCCCCGGCAGGTTCATTTACACAGGTAAGCAAGAGATTGATGTGCAAGGTAACTCGTTCCTAGCTCACCTTTGCTCTAGTTATCAGCATCTCTGCTTTACAATCAGCCTAATTGCTCTTGATATTTTTGGTAATGTGGAAAAAAAGAATGGACAGACTGACAGACATAGGAGGAAGTGTGTTCTCAATACTAAATTTGTACTTTACTTCAGAAATTTCTGCATAGTTTGATGGCTGTAGCAGCACATTTCAAGATTGTAGTCTTATAAATTAATCTCCACTGGAAACTTGCTAGGGCAGGTTTTAATATCAGAATAGATAAACATAATCAAAGTTGTTGGCTATGAGTTTTCTTGGCAATGACTCAAGAGTGTTGTCCCACTATGTTGCAGAGTGATGCAAGTATTAAAAAACTTGATGCAAGTGAAGTTCATCTGATCATCCAGTAGTCACTGAATGCCTTCTTTGCGTTGTCTGCTTTGAATTGGTTGAATGCCTGCTTTCCCTGGGTGGGATGTACAGATGATGTATGGACATGGTCCCTTACCTGTTTTGGAAGAGACAGTGGCCTACTGCACATCACAGACATCCTCCTGCCTCTGCCTCTCTAGTGATGGGATTAAAGTCACGTGCCACCATGCCCAGCATTTCTTTTGTAATGGATGGACAATCCTACTGTAATCACAATAAAGGATGCTGTTGTAGCTCCCAGTGGGGCACAGCTCACCCACTTATCCATGCCTCCTGTGGAGTCGAATAACACCAATTAATAGGGTATTGAAGTGAGAGAAGTAAAGTACCCTTAGTGAAGTGAATGTTCTAGAGGGCAAGACAGATGGCAAAGAGTGAATGGCATAATTCCAGCTAACAATAAGTAAGGGCAGAAGAATGAAGGAGGGTCTGTGGTAGGGCAGTAGGAGGCCACTCTGAGAAAGGACACTGAGCTCAGAGTGGCACCACAGGAAGGGGCAAGTCATAGAATACCCACCTCCCCTATATCCCCACCCTTACTTTTACCTTCCTCTACAGGCCACTCATCTTGCCTCTCCATTACTCCTCAGCCCCCAGAGCCAGTGGCTCATTGGTGTTTCCTGGAACTGTACCCTGACAATCCATGACCTTGTGTGATGGGGTGTGCCTGGCAGAGAATACAGCACAATGACGGACTGGAAATGGGAAGGAGCCCAGTGTCATTGGGCAAGAGCAAGAATATCAGAGTGGAAGTGAGGTCACCGGGGTGGAGGGTGAGGGGGGATGGGCAAGGCAGGCAGGGTGAGGGGACGTGGAAGATGTTGAGTCAGGGAGCACCGAGACAGAATTCAGAGCTGCAGGGCAAGATATTGCCATGGAAGAGAGGTTGGAAGGATGAGTTGGAAGGATGCCAGAGATGGCCCCTTGGCAATTCCATTGTGGAAGGCTGAGAACAGTGAAGAGGAAATGTGAAGGAGGCTAAGGAGGAGGGACTGAGGGAGGAGGAGCCTAGGAGTGCAGGGAATCCCTGAGGTCAGGGGAAGAACTCTAACACTTTCCATGTACACAGCATCTCCATGTTTAATAAGTTTCCCCTGGACATAGATGATGGGTCTAGCCTTGGAAGATATAGGTGAGTATTTTAACAGAGATGTTGGAGCCTGCTCTCAACCCTCTACTGAAGTTAAGCATGATCTCAGTTTTCAGTGGGACTATAGACACTTAGAACCAGGTAGGGAGCATGAGTGAGTGTGTGTGTATGTGTGTGTGTGTGTGTGTGTGTGTGTGTGTGTGTGTGTGTTTTTCTCTGAAAGCTAAGTTTCA